CAAGCTGGGCAGCGCCCTCTACAGGTCTCCAAGGAACCCAAATGAACACAGGCAAGACAAGCTGGGCAGCGCCCTCTACAGGTCTCCAAGCAACCTAAATGAACACAGGCAGGCCGGGCTGGGCAGCGCCCCCTACAGGTCTCTAGGACAACAAAATGAACATAAGCAGGCTAGGCTCAGCAGTCTCCTGCAAGGCATGCCTTCCTGGCTCCTCCACAGACTAACAGCAGGGACAAAGCCCAAAGCTCACTGGCCCCAAAAGTAAAGCAAAAATATAAACTTCTCAAAATGGATAAACAAGTGATCTTGACCCTGTCTCAATGACAAATGTATTTAAATGATTTTATCAAGGAGTTTTATATGGCTGTATAGCTATTTACAATGATATATATAAATTAATATAAAAGGCAAATAATACCTAGGAAGTACCACCTTTTCCTAGACATTACTTCAGTACCTCTGGAAATGCTGAATGAGAAACATATAAAAATATGGATGAAAAATTATTTACGTGTAACTTAAGGACCAAATAGGGTATAAAAGTCTTGTACATTTAAAGAATTATATAGCGATAAATTATGGGGAAGAAAACAAATCTTGGATATGAATAGTCCTGAAGGTATTTCAGACTCTGTATACTAACGAACATGTATCCGTCAAGGGTGCTCAATGCCATCCAGCTACCCAAGAGAATTATACGGTCACATTCCACAGCCTCAGGAAAGACTCAGAAAAAATAGGCACTAGGTAAGCAGGGACCACAGAGGTAGCACGCAAGGAACAGTTATAGCAAGAAGGCCTGAAGTGCCCATGCCGTAACCCACATGCCCTCTGCAGACGACACCCGTGCAGCCTCAGCTACAGACGTGTGGTGTGGAATCCCGCCTCTATGACAGCACGGCACAGCTAGTTCCATCCTCTCCCCCTCACCTTCTCCTGTACCCCACCCCCTTGGGACATCTATCTGTTGAAAATGGAAGGAAATGACAGGACAGAGCCATGTGTACCCGGAGGACCAAAAGGGATCTCTGTTGCTCTGCTCAACCACTGACATGTGCCCATCTCTCTCCTCCCCATCATCTCAATGCTTGGTCTGACTCCAACCACCCCAACCCGTCACAGCGGGACACCTACCCTCAGAGACTGGGGCAAGCGGTGGGCAGCTGCCATGTTCTACCTAGCCATCTCCAAAGCTAGCTTACAGCTCTACCTAGGGCCATCAAGTCAGGCATTGTAATGAACAAAACATCACTCACTCAGAGCAGGGTCTCAGTACCATAGGCAGCCTTCTGCCTACTGCCCACTAGGTCCTCAATAAGCCATCCTGAAACAAAGCCCAGGAGAACCAGCCAGGCTGGATTTCTGAGCACTAATGGTGCTGAGGAGAAACTGCAGTCATATGAACTGCAGAGTGCCCACAGCCGAGCCCAGGCACCATTACCTAAGGAGCTGCATGGAGACCTAGCCGCTCTGACCCAGAGGCCTGGGTCACTGTTCCTCCTAATGTAGGCCTCGTCAAGAACTAATTCCACCACAGACCCTCACAGAGTCACTTAGGGGCCAACCCAACAGACTATACGTGTTCCTTTGGCTACAGGTGCAAACTGCTATTAATCAAGAATGTCAGCTGCAAAACTGACCACAGATACTGATCTCAGAACCCTGATGAAGAGATGAAGATCACAGGACCCACCACCCATACCAATCTACTGCCCTTAAAGCCCGAGGCCTCAACGGCTAGGACAGTCTCCAGTGATTTCGGCTAGGACATTTACCTACCATATTCTTACCCAACAGGCAGTGACGCACGCGCGCGCGCACACACACACACACAGCACCCTGTGACCAGACAGTCAGCACCATCTGGCTAGCTGGGGCTTCCATAAAGCACATCAACCTTCAAGTACCCAGCTGATACATGCTAACTTGCTACCTAGGCGAGGGTGACAGAGGTATCCAGAGCCACACAAGCATGAGGAGGAGGCACAGGGTGGTGTGTTCCGCTGCTGTGAGGACACCAGGGCGCACGTGAAACACTGCAGGTTTTGGACAGCGTATACCCATTTTTTCACTGCTGAAACTCAGAACTAGACAGGCAAGGCTTTAACAAATTGTTTTGGCTGTTCTGGCATCTTAAAATAGATTCCCAGTGGGGTCTGCTCTATGTGGAAGTTTCTCCAAGGTGCAGAGAACCAGTTAGGGTGAAGTCGCTTTCTAGAAGGTGCTTTGGAGCTGGGTGTTGGTGGTGCGTGCCTTTAATCCCAGCACTTGAGAAGCAGAGGCAGGCAAATACTCTGAGTTTGAGGCCAGCCTGGTCTACAATGTGAGCTTCAGGACAGACAAGAGAAACCTTTTCTTGAAAAACTAAAAAGAGGGGATGGGGGGAAGGAGAGAGGGATGGGCAGGGAGGGAGACAGAGACACAGAGAGAGATTTCTAAATAGTGGGTTTCACTTTATAAAAGTTGAATAATCAGATTTACTTTTTTAAATAGGGGAAAGTAAAATATTAACGTGTCTTAGATATGATAGAACTGGAGAGAACGGGAATGTATGACTGAACTTTTAAGAAAATTACATAAACAGCACAGCCCAGGCCTGATGGCACCAAGCTGTCGCACCCCAAACAGCCTCTTCTGACCCTCGATCACCAGGTGACACAGGAAAGTCAAGTGACTCTCTCTAGATAAGAGACCACCAGGCAGCAAACCCTACACAGAGAGTTTCTCCAGCTCCCCACGTCACCCAGCAGGCTCCATCAGGCGAAGTAGCTACACTGCCTGGGTATCAAACTCCACAGACTGGAAACAGAATTAACTTCTGAGCCCCATGCCAACCACAGATCCTCCCGATGAGGAGCCCTACAACCCCACAGCACAGGCATGTCACCCCATACACACTCACCCTTGCTCTGGGCATCGGTGACACCAGTGTGCCTGGGGTCACTCTATGGATAGGGGGAGTAATCACCCCAAAGTAAAACCCTAGATGCCCATGGAAGAGGGAATATGATACAGGCCATATCATATTATCACAGAATAATGCGAGAGGCGGAGTCACTCCCAGCACCCCAGGACTCATCACATGCTCCCCAAGTGCCAAGCACCCATGTAGGGCAGACATGAGAAGAGGCTGCCTGATAGCACTCGGTCCTAGGCGAGCTGAGCATGTTGGGACGGACTGGAACTGAGCAAGGCAAGGTGAGAGAGGGTGCTCCGAGGTTAGAAGGTGCAGCAAACCACAAACCCCAGTTACAGATAGCATGCCTGTCGTGTGCCGGCAGGACTGAGAGACATTTCCAGAAGGCCCGATGGAGTGATGTGCCATTTGTGAGCACTGCCAAGCTCTTGTGAGGGGACTGCATCTGAGATAGCAGTGTGGCTGGGCTCTGCGCATCAGGACCTGCTGGTATTGGG